TTGATTGTCTTAACCAGCCAGGATATGAGTTGGAGGTTGAAGAAGTGAGTTTTTGATTGTCTTAACTAGCCAGGATATGAGTTGGAGGTTGAAGAAGTGAGTTTAGGATTGCTTTTATCGTACAAAACAGTATATTCTAATGTATCAATTTTTTAGCAAATAAGTTCGAGATTATTATGATCTGCTGAGCAATGAATTCGAAAATGAGTATTGTAATAACTTTTTGATATTATTTAGTTGAGTACCGGACTTACACTATACATTTTTAGTGCAATTTGACCAATATACACATTTCCCAAAAATTGTATTAAGAAATTAAGTTTACACAAAAAACTGCGAGTAATAGACTTGGATGTTAATATAATTCAATTCTGGCTGATTATCAGAAAGAGTAATTGTACTTTATCTATATGTTTGTTATCTATTTTTACCTTTTAAGTTTTAGGTTGGATTACAATAACGCTTGATAATTAGTTTTCATATGTAGTGTAAGAATGTACAATATTTCGATAAAGTTTCGTGATTTATGGACGATTTCACAATCACGGATTTTGTCCAGGTGATCGATAGTTGTAAAAACCCTCAAGTTATGTGATCCATAAATAGAACTATGGTAGTAACACAAGGGTCAAATATAACGCAGAACCCCATGTAACTCCCCGGAGGACCCTAAGGGTATTTTCTAGGTTTGTTGACAATCGGTACAGCAGTTCATTAGTTATAAGCAGACATACAAAGACACACAGATTTGTCAAATAATGATTTAGTTTAGATACACGCGTAATACTGAATTAAAAGCTTTAAAAAGTCGTTTCTTAAACATTGTTCACGATTTAATTTAAAACTCTAAGTATTCATGAACTACGAGAGACTAGTGTGGATGAATTTCGAACATTTTAATATAATTGTTTTAGTACACGTGTAAAGCAACAACATTATATATTCCTATGAAACCTGAGTTAGTCTGCGTGAATTCCAATCAATTATATCACCAGTATATCCTTTTAATAAACGTCGACGCTACGCAAATTATAATCCAATTATAGTTGATTCTGTTTAAACTAAATTTAGTTTAGTTTTTAATTCAATTAAATCCGTTTTCTAGTGAGCTTCTTTCTCTTCCTTAGTTAACTTAAATCGTCTGTAGCACTACTTAACAAGAAACCTGGTCAATTGTGAAAGGTTTAGATAAACATATTCCAACTCTGAACAGAACAGGTTCCATATTCTAAAATTGTTCCACAGAGGTTATAATATCAAAAACATTGCGTAAAAAGTTGCTAGAAATAAAAACACATTAAATGATAAACGTTCCACTTAGACAGAATGTTTTAGCAAAATTAATATTTCAATCAGTTAACAAGAACCAACGTTATCTTGTTATCGCGAAATGTTAGTTTGATGATTTAGGATAGCTAGTGGTAAGGCATTATAAAATTTTTGGTGTGACGAGGTTGCTAGGAACGTTTCCACTAACTCGTTCTAGTAGCCGAGAAGTCTCTTTATAATTAAAAGCTACATTTGATCCTGTTATCACATCGTATACAGCGGCTAGTTTTATATCTTTGAGTTATATCGTCCAAAATATGTTAAAATGTCTTGATATTTGAGGAGACACTGAAGGACACGCGTTTTAAGCCCTATTAAAGTTTCAATTTACACAGACAAACAAATAAACAAACTATTAAGCAGACTGTAGCTTGGATAGGCACATAAGAACATATAAACCGACTGGAGTTTGAGTAGAGACAGATGACTAGGCCCAGAATTGCTTGTACAGAGGAATTTTTCTCAGCTGTTTTGTGAAAGAGACATGTTGAAAAATTGGTTTTGATGGTAAAAGGTTGCTTATAACCGATTGTATTTACGCTAGAAAGTTAATTTACCAATCTTAGTGATGACCAGTCGTGCTATTTAATGTATTAGGCGGCAGCGTACTTTAAAACCTCAGTAGAGTTTAAAGAAACACATCTTTATATATCTAACATTTGCTATTTTATTAAGCTATTATTTCTGTTTTCCTGAATGGCAAATGAATTGGATTATATTATCATCATCATATTAATGTGGTACTCCCAGTTTCACTGAAGATCCTCTCAGTCGTCCGCAAACAACAGGAGGTTCGATACAAAATATAATACGGATCAAATCTGAATCTCTGGGTCTGGATGAGTTGCATGAAAAAAAAAAAGAGACTGGATACAATTTAAACAAATTGATCTTTATTCAATGTCAAAGACAATGAAAGTAACTGACTGTACTAAACTAATGAGGCATCTTCTGGACATTAGACGAGAGTGCTGATTTCTTTATTATTTTCAAGATACTGTGGGATAAACTGTCCAGACCGAGAGAGCACGATGGTTGTATACAGAATATAATAGCGTCATCACTCCCAGTGCTGATAATCCTAAAAGTACGATACAGAAGATATAAAAAACTAGGTATCACAAGACACACCAAAGGTTAATGACACTGTGTACCCAACTATGTATACTATAGCAATCTTTTCCAAGAGAAAGCGCAGATAATATCATTGGGTTTGACTTTGATCGATTGATCAATCAGAAATAAAATCAGAATCAATCTTTTCACACAGATTAGAATTTCACATTGAAAGCGGACAACAATCTTTAATATTACCTTCTTTACCATCAAAATATGTTACAAGTTTAAAGATTTAACTGTTGGATATTGTTTGTTAGCGGACAACAATCTTTAATAATACCTTCTCTACCATCAAAATATGTTACAAGTTTAAAGATTTATTGGAAATTTAACTGTTGCATGTTGTTTGTTATTAAACACAAAGGTATACAAAGGGCTATCTGTATTCTGTCCACCAGAGGTATCGAAACCCGGTTTCTAGAGATATAAGTCCGCAGACATACCGCTGTACTACTGAGGGGCTTTAACGGTTGGAGCAGTTTAACAAATAAAGTCCTTAAGTTACAGTTTCTGAGAAATGATTTTTACTTAACAAGCGTAGGCAGCACAGTATATGGAAAATTTCCTTCTGTTTATGTTTTAATTTGAAAAAAAAAACATTATCTGAACTTGAAACTAGTCTTAGTGACAACTTCAGGTAAAGTTTAATGATAAATAGGTTTAGTTTTCTTTATGGTTCATTTTACTTTTCATTGTATCAGTTCTACTGTTTCTGCAATTCTAAAAGAAGTATTACATGACACGTTTTACATCCGATGCTCTTTTTGTCATTTTTTATATAGATTATATTTTATTTACTTTTTATTTGTGTCACATAATCATTTGGTTTCTAACTAGCACGGCGTAACAATTCATGTTTAGCAGATTTATAAATGTGTTTTCAGCATTTATTGGTAGAAATTATATCCTGCTTGGAATATTAAGAAATTATTATAGCTATGTATTTATAATAGGTATTTTTACAATCTGAGCAGCACGTAATGCAGACCAGAGACCCCTAAAGTTAAGGTATGACCAACATTTATTTAAAACTAAAAGTGTTCATTAGTATTCTATGACTCAAACCTTGGACCTTCCAGCCTGCAGCTCACCGTTTTAACCACTAAAACGATTCTTGATCCATTTATAGTAGATAGTGAACAAGACTTGCTAACATTGAATTAACCGTTAACTCCCGTTATGTGTATAACATTGTTTATTATGTAGTTTATGTGCATAACATTGTTTATTGTGTAGTTTATGTGCATAACATTGTTTATTGTGTAGTTTATGTGCACAACATTGTTTATTATGTAGTTTATGTGCATTACATTGTTTATTGTGTAGTTCATGTGCATAACATTGTTTATTGTGTAGTTTATGTGCATAACATTGTTTATTGTGTAGTTTATGTGCATAACATTGTTTATTGTGAAGTTTATGTGTATAACATTGTTTATTGTATAGTTTATGTGCTTAACCTTGTTTATTGTTTAGGTTATGTGCATAACATTGTTTATTGTGCAGTTTATGTATATAACATTGTTTATTGTGTTGTTTATGTGTATAACATTATTTATTGTGTAGTTTATGTATATAACATTGTTTATTGTGTAGTTTATGTGTATAACATTGTTTATTCGGCGCTTTTCTTGGAGTGAGCAGTGAATGAGTACTGAGTCGGTAGAGTGTAGATCAGTTAGTGTAGCTAGCACTGAAATGTTTGTATCATTGTTAATTATTGTGTAATTTCAGTTACTCGATCGATTAGCCATAAGCCATAAAGTTAATTAGGCCTACAACTTACAAGTTACAATAGTGTATAGGTAAAAGCGTGCTTGAAGAAAGTTAAAGCAGAAATAAACTAATTTGGTATTATTACGTGGACTAGACTTTGAATTATTTTTACCAAACAATTAAAAAGAACAACATTACATAAGTATGCTTACGGCATGGAACTGTGTATATGCATGTATTTTAGAGTTGACGGCACAAAATATTTTCGATGGTTGATTGTGACAGAAAGTGTCAATTTTTTTTCCTTTTTTTGCCTGCAGTAACTTATATTTTTAATGCCATTCGAGTTGGAGTAGTCTAACTCCTTTAGATGGCACTTTGAAGCTTTACACGTAATAGAGTGATGAGTGCGTGGGATGCTAAGGTGGATTGCGAATTGAAAGTAGACAAGATCCTAACTGTTGACGTCAATGCTCTGCAGGTGCACATTGGTTAATATGACACGTTAACATATATATATATATATATACGTGTGCAACACTAAATTCCTCTATATGAACCAGTTTGAATATATGTTTTATGTATATGAACCAGTGTGAATATATGTTTTATGTACATGAACCAATTTAAATATATGTTTAATTATGTTGAGCCTCATGCATACAAGAGCTACAACTTTTGAGGCAAGTAAAAGGTATTGCGTGAACACTGAAATGAGATATGGTCAGTACAGACCAGTGATTATCTTTGAGATAGAACAAACATAGATAATGTTCTATGTTTTCTTAATGCTGGTATAGATTTACTCTATAATGATATAACCGTAGAAAAGAAAACAACAACATGGAAATTATAAAGAAGTACACTGGTCACCTATCCAGAGAATTATAAGGACGTTCTCTTACTGAATCTCTTGTATAGAAAATCTCAAACGAATTCTATCTAACACAACGGTGAATGGTATAAATGGAGAGATGCTTTTAAACCAATTTTAGGGACATTAATATATCTCGATGGGTTTAAAAAGTGTAGAATTTGTTAGTAAATCCGATTTACTTCCAATCTAAATTTACCTAAGTAACAAACACTGTCTAGTATAGACGTGTATTCTATGTTTACATGTCACGAAATTGTAACGTAGGCGTGCATTTTATTTTTTTATGCACTAAACTGTAGCGTAGAAATGTTGGACTGTAGTATAGATTCGAAGTTTATTTTTTTATGCCTATAGACTGTACGTGGGTTTTATTTTTGGCTGTCGCTAGACTTTAGCTAGGGCATCAATCTCTCTCTTTTTTTTTTAATGTCATTAGACTATGGTGTAGACTTGAAAGCTTATTTGTTCATGCCCCTAGATTGTATGTAGGTTTTATTTTTGAATGCCGATAGACTTTAGGTTGAGATGCATTTTACCTTTACCACAGTCTAATATTATGCAAAAATATACTTTGAGTCTACACCACAGTCTAATATTATACAAAAACAAAAATATACTTTGAGTACACCACAGTCTAATATTATACTCAAAAATATACTTTGAGTCATGCAACTAGATTCTAGTTTAGATGTGTTTCGTTTTTATAAAGTTCTTTGTCTTCTAGCTTTGTGCTGTATGGAATGTTCGTTATACGGCAATGACTTGGAATATTATTTCTATCAACATTTGCTCCTTTTATTATATAACTTTACATTCTTTTTATGACTTTTTGATGCATCTTTATTAAACTATTTTATTACGTCTAGAAGTATTGATCACATCCTTAAATGTAATTGAAAATTTTAACCCGGCGCTGACTGTGGCTAAGCGGCCAGGTCAGAAACCCCTAGGATTCAATAATAACTGTCTTTTATATCCTTAATGTGAATGCGTTTTGTTTTATTTCTTCATTTTTATTTCATTATTGTTTTATAATTAACACTTTACCGGATTTACTTTAAACTCAAATGTTAGATGACTTGCTTGGCAAAATATGATCTGACTTATAACAGCAGAGACCTTGAACAAAACTTAAAGTGCTGTAGTTAATCTAGATTGAAGTGATTGTTGTTTCATAACTGAAATGAGTCTAATCTTATAGAATCTTCTCGTAGTTCATTATATACAGGAAATTTAAGTTTTTCTTAAATTTTGTAGTAGGCGAGATAAATAGATAAAAACGAACATTGGATGTTTACTAAATACAAGTTAAAACTAAAATTTAAAATGTTTTATCTGGCTACATAGACGTGTTCTCCATAAATGAAGTGAATTCTACTCATACAAAGCTAGTTTTATTAAGACATTATGGCGGGATTCATCGTTTGCAGAAAATGAACTTATTTTTCAAGCGTTTTTCTAGGAATATTGTCTTCTATGTTTGTTTTGTAAACTTGATGGACCAGTTAGCCAAACAGAAGGAAACCAGTAATTCACCTTATCTTTAGCTGCACGCATGGAGGCTCTGCTGTTCACAAAACTCTGCTGGATATGACATTTAAACAGCCAGTGATGAGAAATTCCATCTCGGCTCATCAATTCGCCAGCTTCACTTTCGATGACAGCTGGAAATCATTGGAAATATCGACCTTTCGTACTTGGCATTTCCATCCAATGACTGGAATTACAAGACAAATTACCACGGTTTTAAAAAGTCAGCAAATGTAGTGGAAACTTAAAGTAAAATTTGAACTCTTTGTGTTGAACATGTTTTTATCTAAAACTACAATTAGTATTATCCTAAAATTACGGTGCTTAAGATATAACAAATGTAGGTAATTGACTTGTGGCAATATTGCAAAAAATCTGGAATTTATCAATATGCTAAAAATCTTATGTCTGATAATGTTCTAAGAAATTTAATGTTTTGATATTACAGAAGATATTTAATGATGCTTTGAAAAGGTTATAAGTCGTAAAAACTTTATGATAAAAAATATTATATAATAATCTACAAAGTATGATAATATGTATCCTTTAAAAAGACACGTATTAACGATCTACAAAGTTATTTTAATTTGACGTAATGTCCTAAACTATTCTGTGTATAAGTTTTTTAACATTGTAATATCTCTGTGCACGTGTATTAATGGCTTAATTGATAATGGTCTACAAATGTATAGAAGTTGTGTAACATATTATTTAACGACGTCTTAAAAGTATTTTTATTTGGTAATTTCTTCTTCTTCTTAATTAACATATCTTTAAAGAATATTAATTTGTTAACAGATCGAATGTATCATAAAACCTTCAAATGTATAAGAAAATATTTTTGTTCATACACATTTTAAGTTTAAGTTGCCGCGCTCGATTTGCGGAGTGTCATAGAGTCATTAGAGTGGTGAATATTGTTGATAAACGTCTATCATTAAATCTCTCAGCATAGACACGTAGCAATCTTTTACTCATTTGACCATCACATGACACCAGAGATTGAAATGGAAGACTTCCCATGAATATGTTTTATTACTTTGTTTACCTCTCACACAGCTCTTTCTATAGAAAACAAACACTTAACACATTTCTTCGTGGCTCTCATTTTATCCATTTCAGACTATTTGTCTTCTACCCGCGTTAGAACTTTTATAAAATATTATACTATAAATAACAATTCATATGTAATGTTTTCGATTTATACGAGCAAAATTTAATGGCTATTCCTTATGATTTACTTCGACTTTATTTTATTACTACAAATGAAAACAGTAGTAACCAAGCCAAAGTAAAACAAACACTAAATATATTTTCTTCAAAACTGTTTTGTATTTAAACACATGTAAAACTTAAAACACAATGCAAATAATATTTTTCCTGGAGGTGTTTGTTTTCTCTCATACATGAAGTAAAAGTCTGCAGATAAGCATCATGCTAGACGAGCATCCACTATAATGCTCCTTTGAATTTCTTACAAATTCTTGCCATTATCTTTATTTCTGGTCGCTTCACACATTACGTCACCATTCTACATTAGATACGTAAATAAACGAAATATTCCACAAAGTTGTAAGAAAGGTTCCAATAAACTGGCCCATGATAAAATGTATGTGCCCAACAAGTGGTGAAATAATAAAGATAAGAATAGAACAGGTTGTTGCCTTTTCGGTTTTATTATAAATTCTCTGTCTGTTTCTAGCACCTGATTAAGTTTCAGTAAAAACTATTTCGATGTCTTTTGTCCCAGAGTCTATAAAAATGAATTAATTTACAGAACAAAAGACATATGCAGAAATCTCCGATCAAATAAAACCTTCTCTACCTAAACCTTCTATTCAGTAAAAACTGACCAGAATGATTTACCAGGGCCCTAGGAAGTGGTAAGGCCAGTTAGACCATGGCCTGACCACTTTTTCGTGGTGTGTATAGCTACAACTCATGTTAAAACTTGCTTCTTTTAATACAATACGTTACGTTGTGTGTGTGTGCAGTATTTGTAGTTAAAATGACTCAAGATTCAATCTCATGGCATAAAATTTTAATTTTTTTTTATTGGGGATGCCCTCAAAACCCTCTAGAAATGGCAATGTGGCAATAGCCTGACCACTCCCAAATTACTTCCTACGACAATGTTTACGATTATTTATTTGTAACATGCGAATATTTAATAGGCTAAAGAAAAGGTGGAGTCACTTATAGCTCTCGCTTATAAACTAGTCCTAACTACGTCCTCTTCACTTTAGCTGCTACATTACACAGTTACTAAATGTCAATGCGGGGTATTGAAAACCCGAAAGAGTGAAGTTTGAGACATTAAGTAAGAAAGGCTGAACATCACAAACGTCGTCATTAACCAATTTCTCCTTTTCGTGTTTTCAACTATTTTATTTAGAAATCACTAACCTGTTGTTACAACATGAACACAACTTGAATTATTTTGATGTTGTAACTCAAGTAATTGCTAATTTCACCATTTCATAACTAGCAGGGAATGTACATTTATACAGAAATATCGGGGGAATTTTTCTAGCTTTCTCTACTGTTTTGCATATGGTTATAACATTCCTGTAAACCGGATACTGGAATGTTGTAAACACGTGCTAACCCTTTTATAGAGGTAATGGTTACATACTAGGCTAGCATATACGTGTTTCTGTATAGAGTTCTAATGCAGGAACCTCTAGGAGCTGACCAGAATGTATGTACATTAGTAGTTGGAGTATAGAATCTAATGGATTGTGGCGTTCCGCACTAAGGCTTTGGTCCAACTATAGAAGTGGGATATCAATGCAATCCTGAAACTTGATTTCATTCTTATCTGTCCTGTGCAAACATCTTGAAAGCCTCTCTACTTCCAGCAGCTAGTTTCAGAACAAACAAATAAGAATCCAGCAAGTCTATAAACGCCTCTGTACTGTATGTCGTTATTTTTCTCTGCTGCCCCTGTTCGAATTACGCACTGAATAACAATTCCGGAATATACATTTTGCGGATGCTTTAAACTTATTTGTTCGATGTAAGTGTAAATACCACACTAGTTCATAGTTAGTCCAGAAAAGTATCGTAGAAAACATTTATGAAGATTACTAGATAGTTACCGAGACTGTCTTTTACTGACATTGAATATTACTAGTTACTTACTGAGACTATCTCTTACTGACATTGAATATTACTAGTTAGTTACTGAGACTGTCTCTTACTGACATTGAATATTACTAGTTATTTACTGAGACTTTCTCTTACTGACATTGAATATTACTATATAGTTACCGAGACTGTCTCTTAATGACATTGAATATTATTAGTTACTTACTGAGACTGTCTCTTACCGACATTAAATATTCCTAGTTGTTTACTGAGACTGTCTCTTACTGACATTGAATATTACTAGTTATTTACTGAGACTTTCTCTTACTGACATTGAATATTACTTGTTAGTTACCGAGACTGTCTCTCACTGACATTGAATATTACTACATTGTTACCGAGTACCTTACTGACATTGAATATTATTACATAGTTACCGAGTACCTTACTTACATTGAATATTACTACATAGTTACCGAGTACCTTACTGACATTAAATATTACTACATAGTTACCGAGTACCTTACTGACATTCAATATTACTACATAGTTACCGAGTATCTTACTAACCTATAATGTTTTTAAGTATTGTTCATTACCAACAATACATCCGAAAATATCGTTAACAATGAGGGTACCCAACTGATGAAACAATCTATTCTAATCTTTTGAAGTAAGAACTTAAGAAAAGTATATTTAGTTAACCATACTCATTATCTCTTTGATTTTTAGTTTCGCTCGAAGTAGAAAGCTTGTCTGATCTGAAGTTAATATTTCTTGAGTATTGGCTTAGGCAGTTTCAAGATTATTCCTTATTAACAATTAGTGTTAAAAAAATTCAAATATAACAAATTACAACAAGTAAAGTAGTAAAAAATAAAGCAGTGTATAAGTATTTCAGCAGGATCCCCGAAAGTGTTCTGTTTGAAGAGTAAATAAAACCAAAATTAAGACTAACAAATATTTATATTTATTGTTTTTAAAGTTCATATGTCATGCTGTGTTGTAGCTTACAGGATTATTAATTCTTCTCGTGATTCATGGCATGCGCACGTTTTACTGACGTCACGACAGTAAAAATTGCGACGTTAAACATACCTTATGTGACGTCATTTTAGTATCTACTGACTGATTGATACGCAAAACACTACTGTATAGTGGTGCCAGTGGTTAAAACAGATGACCCCTCCTGGCGGCCTTCCGCCCCCTTTCGAATAAATCAAATGACGACAAGGGTATGTTGATTAGGAATTTACTTGCTAAGATTCTTTTATATATCAGAATTTGTCATTATGTCAAATTGGTAATCACTTTTCCCACAACTAAGTTTATTGTAAGGGTTATAGCTGTTATTAATTTGGTGTTCTTAATGTTTTCTGCAATTTAATAAAGACTCCCTCGTTTAAGCTGAAGCGCTAGATTATATTTCCTTTATATAACTGGTATGAAGTATACAATAATCTGTTGTTAATCAGTTAACCGGGGGACAAGGAACTGAGACAATGAAACATTAGAAGGCCGTTCATTCTTAAACAGAAATTGAAAACAGTATTATTCATAACTTGTTAGACAGTAACGTGTAGAAGACATCAAAAGAGCAGGAGGTTATTGACAAAAAATGGCACTTTACAAGCAACTTAAAGTAAGGCATTTTTTGGGGAGAGAGGGGATGTTAAAGGAAACTATAGGGATTGTGGGTTTCATATGGTACACATAAGATAGAAAGCCACGAGAAGCAAACAAATCCTCTTTTATTCTTATTCAATCAGTCTTCTAAACGCTTTTAAAATCCAGAACTGTTCAGCGAATTCTTGCCTATTGACATTTAGTATAACATCACAATTATTATTATTTTCCTGCAGTAAAGACCTAAAAGTTTTATTGTACCATTTATTTTAAAGGTGGTTTTTTATCCTAACTCGCAGCGAGGAAGGTGTTAAATCAAGCTCTTTTGGGCATAACTGAAGGAAAGCAGGGCTTGAGCATACTATATCCACCCCATCTGCACGTCACTGTAGCAAGAAAATGTAACTTTTTCATGTCTTGCCACTGTAACTGGAATATGTTTTCAGACACTGGTGAAATGTTACCTATACA